CACTGGGGGCTGTTGTTTCTATCATCAGTACTTTCACACCGAATGTGAATATTAAGCAAATAAACAAAGTAATTTTTTTTTTTGGATCGAGGTCCATTTTTCTATTATATGACAAGAGACTCCAAAAAAACAAACAAAGACAATGTGACAAAAGTGACTTGGTTTGACAATAGCTCCCTATGCACATGACTGCCATGTGGGATTTGCCAACTATGCTATGCTATACCAACCATGCTCTCTTCAAAACTCACAAAACCAGTACTTTTACCACGCAGAACATGGGTCTACTACTGCCTTGATTAGTTTGTTTGTCTTGTGTGACTTTGCTGTTTTAACATATTAATACATCTTAGCGGACTGGACTGGAGACCTCCTGGGACAGTGAACCTTGGTGAGTGTGACCTCTCTATCTGCAAGCCGTTCGGTGCTGCAGTGTGACTCCTGAGATCTGCAGGAGCTCTGTAAAATGCTACAGTTTTCCGCAAGCCGCTGCGGTCCCTGCAATCTGCAGTGTGTGTGGAGTGAAGTTTTTATTTTAATGAGTCACAAGTTTGCATCGCTGTCTGTATTAATAGTTTTGATGCAACACATTCACAGCCGAGTGTTTTCAGGTGGTTTATTCATCATGTCCCTGATGTGTATAGGCCTTTATTCCTGTTCTAGGCTAAAGGCTGATGTTGGGATTAAGGTTGAATTTTTTACGAAAATCAGAAAAATCCCTCCCCATAATACGCTCCTGTGTGTCCATTCAGATGGGGTTCTTTTTAGGGGGGGCTTTTATTCCCTTTAATTGATAGTGACAGTTGAAGAGTGACAGGAAAGAGGGGAGAAAGAGAGAGGAGATGACACACAGCAAAGGGCCGCAGATCCCATTCGAACCCTGTGTTGCTGAAGCAAGGACTCAGACTTGGTACAAGCTCTACCAGGTGAGCTATGCAGGTGCCCCAGATGTGGTTCCTATTGTCCAACTGAAGGAGAACATTTTCACACAGTCACAGAACACAGACTCCTTGAAATTACATCTATCTTTAAGTATTTCATGCGTTCCTAGACTAAAATGAGCAAAGCAGAAATTGTGGAATAGCCTTGTCAGGCTGTCAGGTGTGTGTGTGTGTG